CGCTCTTCTGATCATTATGTTTGTTGATTTTTTGCTCCTTGTGGATGTTTTAACTCGTAAAAAGAATCTTCAGTGATACAATGAAAATCAGAAAATATTAAAACAACGAGCAAAATATCCGAATTTACAATAAATAGGTACTCCAACCATTGTGGACTCTTTTTTTAAGGAAGCACTTCTGAATTAGCGAGAAACAAATTTCAAAGGCTTCAGCGTGGTAAAAATAATGGAGAAATAAGCTACAGATATGTTTTCAATTAGAAAATATAAGTAAGTTTAATAAGTACGAATACAAATGTATGGCACTCTGTAAAATTACTTAAAAATTAGAAGAGAAATTACACAACTAAAAACAAAATGAGTTGGAGGTTACTAAACATATAAAGTAGCACCTATGATAAATGAAGCAAGAGAAAAAAATTACAATGTTGACTATTTCAATGGGATTTGAAAATTTATTTAATAGTCGGAGAGAGAAAATCAGTCTTGAATATTTTATGACGAACTAAGATAAGATTTTCAAAGAATGCAAGTGGTTTGCAAAGAATTCTTTAAACAAACAAAGAGATGGAGGACTGCTGCACAAGAATTTTCGGACATTAATTCAAAACATTTTCTTTCACTCGTATCTATTTTAGATAATTAGGCGTGGATGAGTTTCTCTCAGTAATTCTAAGGCTCATCAATGCAAGTGGTTTAATTATTCTCCTTGACAAAGTCAATCAGCGTTACATCATGCTGAATCAGTATGATATCATGCTGGCTAAACAGATATCAATATAATAATATACTGGCAAGGAAAACCATTATGATATCATACAGGAGAATCGGCCGATTCACATCATAATATCATGTTCATTGACTTTACTCAGGATAACAAGATCCAGGTTGAATTGACTGGTCTAGTCAAATCAGTCACGCTGAGGATGCTTAGAATCACTGGGAATCATGAATAAAAAATGCACCCACATCTGAATGCTTTCCTTGTAAATAGCAAAAAAGTAAAAAATTATTTAAGTTAGTTTTGCGAAATTCTTTCCCGTAGTATTTTCCGCATGATTAAATGAGTAAAGATACAGCAGGCCTATATAAAAATGAATAAATATATAGAATTATCCTTCAAACTTATAAAGGCAACACAAAACTAAACTCTTTTTTAGACTGAACGTAATTCGTAGAATGAACAGGGGGGAACTTCAATTTAATGGATGACTAGAGCAATTGAAAGCAAGATATCTGGTTCAACATTTACTTTTGATGTATCACAAATTCTTGATTCATATCTTTTTTAATTCCAAATTTCTTTGATACTGTAGGTATTAAAGACATTCTTGACTCGCTTCCTATGATATACACTTTTGTGATTGTTTAGACTATTCAGGGTCCTGAACACCTTGTTGCAGATCTGACAGACTGCGGCGTGCAGCGGTTGGCAATGCTGTTGTTCAATGTGTCTCTTCAGCGTGAGCCGTGTGCTCAGCCGCTTACCACACACGCCGCAACAAAACGCCAACGCCTCCCCTGCACAAACCGCACCCATTTAAGAGTTATATTCATAGAAAATACATCAAATGCAGAATGCTACCACTTCAAATGAGTTTGTGATGATGAGGCAAAAAGAAGCTTTCGCTTTTCTGCAAGTGATTAGTTTGTACGGTAAATGATGAGAGAGATGGGTACAGCGCAATGATAATTGGGTTATTAACATGGGAAAAGGCAGAGTCTTTGCTGCAAAACAGGATTGAAAATTGTTTGAAACACTATCAAAAAACTTGTTTTATGTTTCAAGAAATGATGCTGCCTAATTCTTTAAAAAAGAAAATTGAGAGAGTATAGTAGGTATTTAGATGTTACTGAAAAGTCCACTGATGTATAAATTAATTTACAGTTCATACTATTCTTAAAAACTGACAGCTCATACGGAGAAAAGTGGCTGAAATTCAAGCTCTCATTCAAATTGGTTCGTGGGAAGTCTTGTTTGCTTTTTTTTTAAAGATACCACAAAAAATTACATCAAAATTCGTTTTTTGGCAGTCCATATTTGTACAAAAAGTAACAAATAATTTATGAAATAACAGGGAAAATTTTTGCTCTATGAATTTTGAAACTTTGAAGAATTTCTCAAAAATATTCTCAAACTGACGGGCAAAATTTACTAGATTTGCAAGGAAAAGAAACACTCAAGATTTGATACTTCCCAGCAGCATGTTAAACAATAAATATCCGAGTGAAAAATATGCAATTTTCTTTTAAAAATCATTCGGATTACAGAAAGAAAAATTTTAAAATTTTGAATCAGTACCTATTCTCTTTTGAAACTTTCATGAATTGATGAGATTAATTGACTGTCAGATCTGCAAAAAAGGCTCCGATATCTGGCTTCACTAATACCATTCGTTTTTCGGTGAGGATAAAAAAAAATGACAAATAAAAAATTAACAGCACATAGACTAGTCACAGTAATAAATAAAACAACAAAAAATAGTGTTGAGAGGGGAAAAAAACAGAAAAAAAATAAAGAAAGAAAACTCATGCTGAGCAGACTACGCGTTTTCCAAGAAAAACGCTGAATAAACGTTCGACAACGTAGGTAAACATTTAGAGACACAAGGTGAAAGAAAAGAAGAAATTAAAACCACTCCAATTCAAAACTAAGGATTTGATTTTGTAAATTTGTAGAACCTTTTTTTAAAAAGGGCATTTTATCCAAAAAAAAATCGTTATGAAATCATAAAGCTCTCACTTTAAATAAGAAATTCCATTGAACCTTGCAAGAGCTGAAAGGAAAATATTTCCCGGATAATGCTGCAAATATTTAAAACTTCAGTCTCAGGTTATGAACTCAGTCACCATCAAAAAACAAAGATATCAGGAGACATACAAAAATGAACATGGAAAGAACTCAAGAGAATGAAACAAAAATTAATTTTAAATTTAAATATATAAGAGTAAAAAATTTGTAAAAATAATTTAAGTCGGAGCAGATAAATAGGCAAGGAAGGGGAAGTTATTATTTCATCTTTTCTTTCACGATATATTACCAATAAAAGTAAAAAATAAACTATGATAACACAAAATTAAATAAACTTCAAAGTTAAGAACTAACCTGTTTCAAAGCTGAGCTGCTCTAAAAATTCTTCATCCTTCGGATCTTTATCATGGAAAAATGAATTTATTAAGCGTGAAAAATTATTTTATCAATCATTGTCAAATGATCAGGGCGAAACCACAATTTTTCTCTGAGGAAAAAATTCGCTCAAAAATTAAAATTACTTGTAAGATACACAGAATGAGATTCTTTCAGACATGAGTATCATAAGAGAAAAGATGAAATAATATGAATACTTTCAATTTTAGCAAAATGAGATGAATGAGATGAACTCAGACTAGGGAAAAAATGAAACACGGAGTTTATAATATCAGGAAACACTCAATCTATTTGTAAAACTGACAAACTATGTAGAATAGAAGAATATGTGCCATTTAGGATCAAAATACAAGCATGAAATCACGTTTGAAACTAGGAACCAGAAAATAATTGATTTTCAAAGAAATTGGTCAGTACACAGTAATGCCCTGATTATTTGACGATTTCTGGCAGGGGCCCTGTCAGATAGGTATCAAAACAGTCCGCTAATCGAAACCACCAAAAAATGACTGAAAAAAAATGCAATTTCAGGCTCTGTTTGTCAGTAAATAGTACGAGCTTGGCCAACTTTCTATAGCATTTGTAAAACATAGTCATTTAATTAGAAAAATTTACACACAAAAAACCTCATATACATTCAATTTTTAGCAAAAAAACCTATTTTTGTTGTGAAGGCTGATTTGCTTTTGACCAAAAACTCAATGATTGAAGCGTTACATAATCAGGGTATTACTGTACTTCATAGGATACCACTTTGATGATGAATGTTGCGTAAACTGTGGAATTTGTCAAAATAATTAATGCCTACAGTTTACAACTTGCTAAACATGATTGTATTTGGTATGAAAGTTGAACGTTTGGATTTGGAAAATTCTTTAACAAAAATATAGACATTGTTTTTCAATCAGGAGGAGAATGTAGTACACAATTCAAAGGCTTAGGGTAAGATCTAACTTTCTGATGCTCCACATGTTTTCTTTAATCTTTAGGTTCTAAGAATTCTGAATCATCGTAATAAAATTAACATTAAATCACATGCAACTAACTCTAAGAGCTGAGGATCTAACTAACAGCTAAAATTCAGGGTCCTATGATGAAATTCGGACAAATCATAAAATATATAATTTAAAAAAAAAATCAAGTTGAAATGTAGGCATCAAATAAGTCATTTTAACCATCATCTCTTTAGACTCATCCTCTCACAAATTCTAATCTCCAAGAATATGAAGACAGCTTGACCAAAATAACAGGAAGGACTTTAATTCAAGTGCAAAAACTTGCATTCAAAATTAATAAGTGTGTGTGATGGCGGAGAAACCATCGTGCCCCAGTCCTGGTCTAGGGAACAAAGTTTTCCAGGAAAGTTAAGTGCCAGGGATAAGAACAGCGAAGTTCCTGAGAGTTCCCATGAACATTCCTGTGACTCTTCAACGTTTGAGTGATTACCCTGATTATACACATGTTTGTTTCTGTGTTAAAGTTCTCGAAGAACATTTCAGCCAAGAATGCCCAGGTACATTCCTGGGGAAGTTCTAATTTAAATACATCCCCTAGTCTCATTACAGAGCTTTGACAAAAAAGGTTCATAACCAATGCTGGTGAAAAATTGGGGGAAAAAACAAAAGTGAAGTTCTCCACATAGAAGGAGGAGAGAAGACCCAACAGGAATTAATTGAAAGCATGTGGGAAAATAAAACTTGAGAGATGGCGTGTGCTAGGAATAAGAAATAGGTATCAAAGGTAAGTATATAAGGAGGCATGCAACAGCAAAAATGTTGGACTCATACAAAAGGCGATGTAAATTAACATAAAAATCCAGGAAAAACATGAAATAATGCAGAATTTGAAATACCTTGAGATGATGTGCCTGCTAAACTGTCAACGTTCCCTGGATGATTTTGACTATTCATTCCTGTGAAGAGAAAAAGCACTGTGGGTTAGAAAAAATACAATGATACAGGCCATGTGTCGCTTAAACATGAAAAAAATAAAAGAGCTCTACAAAAAATTGAGATGAATTTTTCCTATCAACTTTTCACAAGATCAATTGGGACTATTCTGGTCAACCCAATGAGTACATTTTACTTTTTGTGGAGGAATGTCCCATCAAGACCCAAAGACTTTTTTATTATTTGTAAAATTATCTTTGGGATTTTAACTTCGATGCTTTTTAAAAGAAGAGTAAAGATTATCAAGAGATGGAGAAACCTCCCCTTTTTCAAACTTATTTCCTAATTTTATAAACGCTCTTTTCTCCTTAAAATTTTCAATAGGTAACTTTTTTCCCTTTTTTTCCCCTTGCTCTTCTTACAAATAGTTAATATCTTGCAAATAATGTGTAATTTCAAGAGTGGCGGTAGCCACCCCTGGTCAAGAAAATATATGGTGACTCAAGGAAGCAAGTAGTCCCTTGTTTCAAGACCTACTGCAGCACTTTTAACACGTTTCCAGGCCTTTTCTATTTTTGCAAGAGACCAAACTCAACCCGCCTGTCACACAGTTAAGAAGATTTTGGACCCCTGAATAATTTTAGAACGAACCTGCTAAAGAATCTGCCGCTAGAGCTGCTGCCATGCTGAAGTTGAACGAACTGGTTGCAGCGAATAATTTACTATCAAGGTAATTTTGAGCGCCTTGAAAACTATCCTCATGATCACAAACAGACAGATGTTGGATCCCTGATCCTGCTGATTCACTCACAGCAGAAATGTCTACGGAATCATTTGAATCGGAGTTACAAGCATTAGTTGGTTTTGCAGGTACTAAGTCCATCGGTTCTGACTTGATGTCATCTCGTGAGGGTGAATTTTTGCTTCGGTCGTAAAAGTCACATCTTCTTTTTGTCACCATGAGATTACTTTTAAGGGATATTGAAAAGTCAACTGGAGGTTCGTCTTCGTCTCTGCTCTCTTTATCTCTTTCTCGCTCTTTATCTGATTCTTTTTCATCGATATCTTCATCTGATTCTCGCGTCCCTGAAGTCCTCGATAGATTTTGAACCATCTCTTCATCATTTTTGGCCTCTTTTGAATTACTAATGTTCGAGTGAATGTTATTGTTATTGTTATTGATGTTGTTTAGGTTATTATCTGAGCTCATGAGCTTGCTTCGTTTCAAGGGTAAGGGTGAATTTTCCTGAAACAAACAAAAAAAAGAAGATTTGATGGGTAAGAGTTACTGTCCGAGTATTGAAACTAGGGATTTAAATGTAAAGAGGGTGCTTAAATCCCCCATCTCACCGCAGAGAACAAATGCCCAGCCAGGCAATGGGAGTCTTAGATGGTGGACCGGTTGGAGTGGAGCAAAATGGACTAGTCCTATTGCGCAAAGCATGATAAGAGGATGTGAACCTTGTACAGTTGTAACGACAGGTTTGCCCCCCATTTGATACCTTTACTTAAAGCTTTATTATTTCATCAAGGCGATATAATATTCAGTTGAAACTTTTAGATTTTCATCACACTATTACATAATTCATTTCAACTATGAAAACTTTCCATTTCCACTCTCCTGAAAAGAATTCACCGGTAGAAAAGCAGGACTTTCCTGTCAGAATACATGGCGATTTGAATTATCTATACATGCAACTAGTCAACTGCCATACTATGCAAGTACCCTTTTTAGCTCTAGATCCTTCACTGAAAATTTACAGCTTTATGTGGATCAGGTCATCATCAGAAAAAGTGGCTTTTTTTGCTTGAAATTCTCTCCAGCCCCAAGACAGCTTTTGACAACTCCATTCCATTCCTCCATTTTTTTTTTTCTTTTGGTGTGCGGGAAGGGACATAATTTCAGTGGTCTCTGGTGGGGGTGGGGAGGTGCGGTTCCTGCTGTTAATTCTTCACTCCAATGTCTCTACTTTCCCAGCAAACGAGGCACTGACCCCTCTTACTGGATCTACCTTCTGAGTGACTTTCTCCAAAATCCCCATAAGTTAGAACACACTACAGCATTCTTTTGTTTATTCCTCTTCTCTTTGAGTTCTGGTAAGGAAAGTTAAGGAGCAAAGCGAATATTTCTTCATTTTCCTGACAAACGAAATTAACTTCATTCTTGGGATTCAAAATTGACTCCAACAATGAATTTAACTTACTAAAATCTGATCCAGCGATTTCAGTCCAAAATTTTGTTGCATTTCGTGTAATTAAAAGAATGATCAATTGAAATCAATGAAATTTTTAGCTAGAAGTGTCCAATAGTTTTTCAGTGAAAAAAACAATTCACTGGTAAATATTGGGCAATGTTAGATTGTAGTTACACTCTTTTCTCTGGGAAACTACAGTTTTAGAACAGCTGTTATTGCCATGTGGTCACTGATAATGATGTCTCTACTCATTGGTGTTAAGATTATTTTCTGTAGTTTGACTTTCCATTAACTGTTGTTACTCATAATTATCCGTTTATTATTTTTTATACTTTTTTTTTGTAACACATCACCTGTTTGAAGACACTGGAATTTTATCATGACAAGTTATTTTGACGGACAGCTCATTGTGAATCTGAAGAATTAATTTAGACTGAAAATCATACCAGGGAGTCAGGAGTATCTCTGGATTCCGGAGAGCCTCTATGTATCCTTTGTTGCGAAACATTGCTTGATGATCGTCGATGCCTAGAGAGAAGTGGTGAAGCTCTTTCTTCCGTGACTGGTGCGCAGTGGAATGATTTGTCCGTTGGGTGAAATGATGTCTGAGAATATGATGAGGAGAGATAGGTAAAATCAATTGAATAATAAATCTTGAAATATGACATATTAGGTCCTTCAAGCTCATTCATTAAATTTTTTAGTATATGCACATTCTGTTCCTGCTTTTTATCGTAGATAAGAAAACTGAGATGCATTGTATGCAGGCAAATTATTGGAGGAACTAAAATAATTATAAGTCCCTGATTTTTCACATTGACAATTTGCATGTGTGAAACTGAAAATAAAAAGTTGTCAGCACTAAATTTACTACAAATGACAGAAACACATGAACCTATATTCTTCAGGTTTAAGTCATCTAATTACCTAAACTTGCAACGTTTCATACAAAATTATTCCTCTGTTCATCATTGCAAAAGCAACTCAGAGCATTTAACTTTGAACCAGACTGAGACTCAATAGTTTTGAGTGGCCGCACAGATATTCTTTCAAATTAGTTCCTTGATTTTTCAAATTTTCAATATTTTTCATAAAATGCCCCAATATACTTACTCCTGATAAAATTCCCTGATGATGATCATCGGTATTCCAGACCTGCAGAAACCCTGGTTGATGTGCCTCTCATTTATTTCTTATTCTTTCTTTTTATAAAACTGAATAAAATATTTTATCGACTCCTAGGAGCAGACTCCTTCTGCATCATATGACTGGTTCCCTTTCAGTATGACAAACATCTCGATGTAGACTTCTGCTATGGACCTAACTTTTTTTGGGCCTTACAGCACAATACTTAAGACGCACAAATCCACTGCACAAGCCTGCAACTGACATTAGTATGATGATCCATTAAAGGAACTCCATTAGTTTTCCTGAGAGATTGTTTTGCTACCCACCGTTGCCGACCTGGTAGGAGGACTTGTGGGCTGTAAGTGTCGTGACTTCCCTTAATTTTCTAATTCTTTGCTAAGACTGATATTCATAAAAATAAAGTACATTAATTATAATTGTAACTCGTACCTCGCTGTAAGAGTCCGACTGCTGGGTGAGACCACTGACCCTTAGTACTTCTGCTGTTTTCAGGAAAGTGCTGAGGTTCTTCTGGTGGACGTTGACTTCTCCATGATAAATGAACTCAACCAATGCATGAAGGTCATCAAAAACTACATCTTGCAAAACGATCACTGGGTGTTTACATGGTGTGCTCTGTTAAAAAATAAACAATTGAGTATAGGTAATTAAGCTGTGCTGAATAGAATGCAAAATTAACAAACATTTAGTAGCCAAGCTTACCATTGTTTCAACTCCCCAACTTTTGATTTGGAAGCAAATCTATGGCTAAAGTAGAGAGGAGGACTAACAAACAATTTTGAGTTTTTCTTGAAATTTTCTGTAAATTGTACCTACTTCATCAAAAATATTCCACGGAAATTGCAAAAAAAACTCCTACAATTTTCTTGAAAAAGGAGAAGAAGAAAAAAAAGGACACACAAGTGATAGGATATTTAAGAAAACTGCAATAAAGAGAACCATTTTCTTACTTTAGCAATCAGAATTTTCTTTAAAACCTATCCTGTTAGGTCAGTAGGAGACCACTAAATAAAATAATTTAAACAAAATATTACCTCTGAGTTTCTCCGGGCAACCATTCTAGTTGTAAATATAATCCACAGAAAAAGAAGGTTTCCATTTTGATAAATCTAAGAGCTATCATTAATACCTACTCCCCACTTAAATAATGAAAAAGTCCTACTTTAGATGAAGGATTAAATTTTTAGTAGTGCATAATCACAATACCTATTTAGGTAATATATAAATAAATAAAAAAAAATCTACCTTAGAAAAAAACCCTAAAACAGGAAGAGAAGGTACTGTTAGATAGGTAATGATAAATAATTTGACTTTGATTTCCTGGTAATAAAAAGAATACGCTTAAAAAGAGAGAAAGCGTCGCAGAACCATTCAGTATTGAGTGATGCTGTCGCCTTGAGAAGAGAAAATAGTTTTAAAAATAAACCACTCATTAAATTACGAGACCATGTACATTTGTTCATGTAGCCTGTTGAAAAAGAGAGAGAGAAAAAAAGGGAGAAGAAGGAAAGGAAATCAAAATGGAATATACTTTCTGGGAACTGATGAAATGAGGGCAGAAGTTTAAAATAAATAAAGATAGCGTCAGTTCAGCTTCAACAAAATAGTTGAGATAAAATGTAAAAAAGAAAGTCTAATTTGCACAGAAGATTTTGTGTGTTTTTATTTTAACACCATTGTACCTAGAGTTTAATCGAGTTTGCAATGCCAAATACAAATTTATGATAAGTAGGAAGTAGATAACAGTGTAATGCACGATTTTCTTTTTCTTCGTTTGCAGATAAGAAAACTAATTGAACAGAAAAGGGGACATAGAGTGCATAGATAAAAGAAAGAAAAAAAAGAAAACTGAGTTTGAGCTGAGAGCAAATTTTGAATGCAAGTATAATTATTACTGATTACATCCTAGAAATGGACATTTTAAAAAATTGCGGTAACTAGTGGGTAAGTGTAAAAAGAAAATTTTAAATTCTGTGCATACAAATCATTCCTGGAATGATATGATGAATAAAACTTATTTGAAAGTTGTCCTGATTGAAAGGTGTTTCCCATTAAAATGAGAGCGTTTTGGTGGGTTTAAGTTAATTCTCATTCCCCCATTCTTCTTCTGTTATGCTCATATTTCACCTATTTTTACATAATTTTAGACGGTAGGCTTGAGCAGTTTTATTTTTCACACATTCATAACAAATTCAGAATGGCTTTTTTGCAAGAAAATAAATTTGAAAGTTCAAATATTGTAAGAAGGCTTTAATGATTGTTTCAGTGCTTGAGTACTTTTTATCAATGAAGGATTGGTCTTTTCAAGTTGTTTCTTGAGGCAGCCAAAGAGTTTCAAGAGTTTTTCACGAGAAAATTAAAAAAAAAAATGACAAATTTTGTTCATAACATTTGAGAGGGTATAAGACTTATGTGCTTACAATTTTTGACAAGTTTTTTAAAACTTTTTCATGAGATTTTGCTACAGGGCAAGTAAAACTCTCAAAATCTGGAAGACCATTATTTTTATTTTTTATTTAAAGAACTGATTAATGCATATATAGTTTAAAGTACCTATTATTTTAGTTGCATAGTCACAGTTTTAGTTCTACACATTACCTAAAGCATTTTAATTACACAAAAAGGTTTGATTAGTTTACTATTCACGTACCTTCAATAATTCTCTAAAATATGGGCTACATGCAGACAAGACTACTCTGTGGGCTTTAAGACTTTTCCCATCACAGGCTAGAGTCACATCAACAAAGTCCTCGTCGTCTCGCAAATTTTCAAAAGCTGACGTAATGCTACTTTGGTAATTGTTCCATCGAAGACAGTAGTGTTGAAGATCTCCCATTATTGAACTGCGGTCAGCTGGAAACAGAAAGAAAACACGAAGAAATTTAATACCAAGACATTGATATAAAAATGCAATAAAAACTGCTTGGGTGCCACACAGCAACAGGGATAAATCAACCTAATAAATTACAATAAAAGACATGAACAAGATGCAAAGCAGAAAGGAAGAGAATAGGTTTCTTTGTTTTTTTAAACCACAAAAAAGCTGTTTTATGATTGGTACCAATCAATGCCCTACCTACTGTCCACTTTTATTTCGCATTAGCAAAAAAAGCACAAATTCTCTGAAGCCTCTAATACCTACAGGGAGAGAGATTTCATTTCTCAAAGTTTGACCTCGTGTACTTGGCACTTCATACCTTAGTTATTTTAATATATTTCAAAAAATATCTCGGCCATGTATTACTTGAAAATGACTCTGGGGAACTTTAAAATTATTGCCTCCATGCTTGCAGAAGTTAAAGTTATTTACCAACATTTTTGAGATATTTAAGTACACATAGAAGAACTTTTCTTCAATTTTGTTATGTGCTTGCTTCCTGATGTAGGAATTCAGTTACCCGTATTGGTTGTTTAATTAGGACCTTGGCAATTACTTCAACATGTAACCCCACACTTTTGGGCGACTTGATTTGTAACAGCACACTTTAAATTCGCGATTGACTATAACGAATAAGTAGTTTCCTCCTCGGCACAGCTAGAATTAATAATCTGGGGTAGGGAGGGACCATAAAATACCCTCCGGAAACTTGTGGCACATTGCAGCTGATTTCAGCAGTTACAAATTTTCTGCACACTTTCCCTTTCTTGCTGAGCTCATAAGCTTAGAATATATTCGCAGTGAAACCCCCAAACTATGTATCTCTGTTTACAATGTTCCAGACTTCCTGTCATAGTTAATTTATAAAATTAGAACTACCTACTCAACATCAATAAGTACTTGAAAATTTCTGTGATTTTTCTCCTCTGAGAAAACTTTAGGAAATGAAGTAATTTGTTCTCTTTTAAGAATATAAAACAGGAGCAGAGATTTTGAAACACCGCAAACAAGATACATGGTTTGGGAGTTTCACCATACTCAGATAAGTACAAAGGGCCGGAGATTTCTTCTCAACAAAACACAGATTAAAATTTTGTCCTGGGCTTACCTCAGTCAAAAATACATGATGACATAGGATAAATACATCCAAATAGAGCCTCTGAATCTGAATCCTGGAAGAAATACGAAAATTCTTCCTCTTACTAGAGATGAATTCATCCCCTATTTGTTTGGTTGATAACATTATTGGAAGAATACTTAGGTACTTGATAGAGTGCGGTTTAAATGAAAAGAATTCAAAGATTTTTGAGAATTGATCGACGAAAAGATAATATTATTTGAAGACTCTGAAACGAGGGCTCATTATGAAATTTCTGACGAAAATAGTGAGATTCCCGAGCCGGGAAAAGTTAACTGACTGATAACAGTTATCAATAAACACAGCTTAACCTAGAAGGGTTTCAAGAATAGGTATACATACTTGATTAAAACCTTGGTTAACGAATCTAATCATGTTTAATGACGACGAACATTTGGAAAATACACTTAAAACACTTATACTAAGAATCACAGAAAAGTTGAACTTAAAATGGTATTTAATGGCACTCATTATTCGTAAACATTGCGAAGCGGACAAGCGCGCTGCTCTGCTTTCGCTTTCAGCTCGATGTCGCTTTCCCCTCCAAGGACTCGGCGAGTCAGGAGGAAGAGGATATCTTCGTGCTCTCATTGGTTAATTAGGTTCCCCGCTAGGGAGCATGCGCAGTGGCATAACATCTCAAGACGTTCGACTCGGAAGTTCGCGGTTCCTAAGTTTATCGCTTAAATAGTACATGTGGAATGATTCTTAATTTTTTTTTCTTTATCAAATCGGCATGAATTTATTGCCATCTTTTGATGTAATATGCGAGAAATGGGACCAGTGTTATCACCCGAATAGACAACTGTCCTTGATTGTTCAAGTTATTAATCTATTTTTTTTCTTTCGATTTGGCGAACCCCACCCTTTCCCTTCCCATGCTTAGTGGAGCGGACTTTAACGTAAGTAGGTAGGTATTGACGAGTTTGAGATTGGAAAGTGATCAAGTGCGGTCGTAAATTTCAAGTGGAAGCAGGCAAAAATAAACGAAAGAGAGAAACGGTTTTAGCAATATACTGCTCTCTTCTAAGCCCAAAACTACAAGTGAGCTCGGTGTAGTTACGTGAGCTATTTTTTTTTTAAATATTTATCTGCCACGCCAAAGAACGTAAAAGGGCGGTTTCGGACAAAAAATAAAAAATATTGAACTGATGAATCAATTTGGTAAATTGTTTTCTGCCAAACCTTTTGAGCTGATTTTCAAGCAGTTCCCATAATTTTTATAGAGAGTGATTTATACATATACGTGATATTTCGGTATAAGTACCTATACAAATCTCTTATCATCCCTTGAAGCGATTAGCATAGGTCCATATACAAAACTGAGGGTCTACCGGCGCGCAAATAGATACCTAGAAAATATCTCAGCAACATGCAGGATCACAGCTTTTCTCCATGCATTTTTTTACTCATACTTTCGGGAAAAGTAAATCCCGAAGAGACGTTTTATGTCACCCGATTAAATCTAAAATCATTATGCTGGCCGACTTCATGTGTTCACAGCAAGTTAAACTTAACGCGTGAATACGCACTTAAATATTAGGTAGGTGGATACCTGCATAATTTGGTGTCTTAATTTGAAAATTTTAACCCTGCTCTGACCACGCATGTGAAAAGCTCTCTCAATTTAAAAAATATGATCGATTCGAAGCTTCAAGAAAAAAAGTCCGATAAATGAAAAAAAATCAAACCAACAAATATTAAATAAAAATAATAAAAAGACGAAAAATAAAGTAATTCAATACCTCAATAACGCCCAATTGAAAAAAATATAAAAAATGATAAATAAAATAAAATTAAAAAATATTATGAGCCGCCCGACTTGTAAACTTGGTCCTTGCGATTCAAGCATTAGAGGAGTGAAAAGTGCATATTTTCGTTCAAAAACACCTATAATTCGATTCTTACTTCTATTTTCAAAATGAAGAAAAGGCAATAGGGAAATTTAGCAGGTTGAAATTACTAAATATTGAAGGAGCAAAGAGATAAGGCAAATAATTTTTTTTAAATGAGCAAGAAATGGGGAATATTTAAAAATACTTCGTAAAATATAATTACAAATCCGAAGGTATGCGTTATCCACTCAACCAAGAGTCGGCCGAAAATTTGTAAAAAAACAGCACACAAAAACTGGGAAACACGATAATTTGTACTGATAATATTTAGAAAGAAAAATATTAAATTATTACCATTTGAAAAATAATTCTAATTAACATGGATGAATACCGCACACGGTGTAGCACTAATGAAAATGAGAAAAAAAAGAAGAAAAAAAAATGAATTTATGTGCGTTGTGACTGCATGATCACAAAAAACAACTGCGTTACATGACTAGCATTAAACTACTAGCAGAGGGGTAAAAAGTAAAATTGCATATTCGTACACTTAATGAAAGGATCTCCTCCCCCTTTTTTCATGAATTCGCACTATAATACATCCCTTCATGAGGGATGGTAGGGGGAAGGGAGAAGGGATTGTAGGAACTCTAAAGAGAAAAAAATCATTAAATTGGTCCGCACCCTTCAAAAGTTTGCATCTGCGCATGTGCTACTAAAAAATTTAATTCGTTTTAACACACTACTGTAAATAGTGAACATTGTTATTCAACTTTTATCAGGCTCGCCCCGGCCTCCGCCGCTGCTCGCTGTATCTCTGCATCCCTGCGTGTGCCATAGATTTCCCTTCGCTCCTCCCCTTCCCCTTTCTGCTCTTTTCCCCACCTTCGCACCCCCACCTCGCCACACTCGCCCTCTCTCTCTCTACCCCGTCTATTTCTTTCTCTCCCTTGCCTCTATTCCTTTTCGGCCTAGTCGAATGTAATTTATGATGAACTCAGAATCAATACTATTGAGATGAGCGAGTGATGAAAACTTGAGCGCTAAGCCTCCTCTTCCACCTCCACCTCCACCCCCTCGCCCTCCCCCTCCCACTCGTCCTCTACCTTCCCCTCTGGCGCCCTTTCCCCGGTCCTCCATCCCCTCCACCACCCCTTTGAGCTTAACTCATAAACGCCCACCCCGTCATATACCCTGATTATTTCCAGGTACCCATCCTAAAAAAGTATCACATCTACAAATCTTTCCCTGTGTTCTCTTCCTCTTTCCCCGTTCATACCACCGTCCCGTCCCTTCGTGCCTCTTCCCGTTTTCCGCCTCTGTTTTCATTTAAGTACATTTTGGTTTTGAAATGTACCTGTCGTCGCGCTCAGGATTCATCTGCAGGTTCCTTCAACCAACAATGTACCTGTAGCTAAAGTGCGGCCCACTATCTTACGAGCAGACCTCTTATCTCCTGAATAATTGATCGAAAAAGCTCGGATCGTATGTAGCACAGGTGCGACTCTCAAATTTTGACCACAAAAGCTGCGCGAAGGGGGGGGGGAACTTGTTATTTTCTAGACTATCTTGTGCCCCACGTTAAGCACATGAGTTTGAAATGAAGGCGTAGGTATACCCATGAGACTTTAGGGTTGCATGAAACGGAAGAAATTAATAAAAGATTGGAAACTTCCGTAATATATATATTTAAAAAAAAACCACTCACTTACACACCCTCACACACACAAATTCCTTAATTTGTTAATAAACTCTGAATATTTATTTAGTTTCCTGTAATAGGGAACGTGAATGATAGAAACGAATCAATTTTGGTATGTAGCCAATAGCGTATGCTGATAATCCACGATTAGAGATATATCTATCAATATATGTTTCATTTATTTCTGAAATTTTTTGGTATATTTGCCATTTTAATTTCAGGATTTTACTTTCCGTGAATTTTTTCATGGAAAAAAATCGGGTTGAAAATGGTCAATTATGCATTTTTTTTTTAAAATTTCGAAAGAGGCTCTTCGGATACCTCCACTTATGTGGAAAGGTGGGGGAGGGGAGGAGAGCTCCCCTCTTCCACACTCTGGTGTATCCAGCCCTTGGCGCAAGTGAGCCGATTTGAATTTTTGGATCAAATCCGGCAGAATGAATTAGTTTTGAATCCCTCAGAGGCGAATAAGAGTGAGAACTGGCCTACTTTATCGTATGATCTATAAAAGATAGAAAAAAAAGAAAGAAAATCTGATAGAAAAGCTGTCGCATGTAACATTCAAAATTTTAGACATTTTTCAAATTTGATTTTTTTTATTTTTCTCCCATTTTAAGTCAGTGAAGGAGGCGTGGACCTCAATCGCGCCGTCCATCAGAATTAAATATGTCATTTAGGGAATGATAGAATAATTCCCCCGATAAGCTGAAACCAGATGTTCATATTCTATTTCAAGTTTTTATTCATGTACAATTATTACAAATATTTATAATCATGTACAAATATTTAATACATGTTTTTATTCTATTTCTATCCATATGTGCTTCATATCATACACTTGCAGATGAATCTTCTGCCATTCGCTGTTACGTTGCTGGCACGCTGGTGACCTCACTGCGAAATAGCCTCCTGTGCTGCCGTGCAGAGGAAAAACGCCGTATGAACCTTTAAGCGTTGTCAAATTTCCTCCGATAAAATAAAAATTTATTGGGGAAGTTGTAAATATTTTTCCTCAAATTTTTAATTCTACTTAGTTCGTGCTTTAATCTAAAATATCTGAAATTTTCAAGGAAATAGGTGCATAAATTTCATCATAAATACCTGTTTTATCCGGGGAAAGTTGGCAACTCTCGAATGTTCATACGGCGTTCTTCCTTACCGCGGCAGTGAGGTAACGTGCCCTCAACATAACGCATGCACCCACGTGCTTATAAACTTCTCATAAGAGACAGGATATCTTTGGTCCTCCACTTTTATCCTTAATATACCCGGAGAGATCGAAGGTCACGTGGAGTTGGCGCAACTTTTACTCAAGAGTGGGGCTACATACGTCTAACTTCTGGGAAGCCCTCTCATAAGTCTCGGATCTCTCTCTAGGTCTGAGCCCTTACCGCCACCCGTAACCCAGTGGCGTGGCGTGAATTGCGATATATCGATTGTTATACCATTTAAACCTGTGGAAAAGGATCGATAAACAGGGTGTTCGCAGCGAACACCTTAATGATCGATTCTTCGCCATAGTTTCAAATGGGGAAATATCGATGATCGATCATTTACGCCACGCCACTGACGTAGTAACCCAACTCTTACAACCCCCGTATCGAGAGGTTGCTATGTTTTTTATTAATATCTTCTTACGACAACTGACGAGTCCACGGGAGGACGGACCCTACCGACGAGGGACTCACAAGTAGCTCTTCAGATTGAGAGCTCCGCGCATGAGGGATAAAGAAGCCCTCGGCTAACCATATTACAGACGTGGCTGGATGAGCTGCCTCGTTTCGTTGTCTCTTAGAAGAAAGATAGAGAGATCCATAATGCCGATTTTTTTCGGATCGAGCAGACACGTTTCTGATTTTTTGCCGGTAAGTAAATAATTTGACACACCTCACACCAATACTGCCGAGCTAGGGAAGAACGCCGTATGAACATTAGAGAGTTGCCAAATTTCCCTGGATAAAACATGCATTTACGACGACATTCACGCATATTCATCCTTGAAATTTTCAGATATTTTAGATTAAATTGCGTGTAAAATATTGAACCAATCGATATCAATATAATCTCACCCGTGTGATCCGTCGATTACGATTTATAAAAACCATCAAGTGAACGTGCCGGTGGAGGAAGGGGGTATGAGACGCGTTTACTCTTGTTGGGTACATTTTTTGTGAAAGCCCTGTCAACACTAACAAAAGTTCAGTTCCGTAAACCCATCCCTGTTTGGACAAGGCCTTCCATTCATAAAAAAACGAACGAAAAAATTATGAAAGAACAAACATAAATGTGGTTAAAAATTCTAACTTCCACCGCCGCGCCGACCGCACTGTGTTGGCGCAATGCGTGAAGTATTCATGCAGTCCTGTAGGCGCTATGCGTTTCCAGCCGACTGCTGCTGACCGCAGTGTGTTTGACGCAATGCGTGAAGTATTCATGCAGTCTTGTAGGCGCTATGCGTTTCACGCCGACCGCTGCTGACCACACTGTCCGTTCCAGGTCAAATTGCGTGTTTGGTTTCTCTCCTAACTCGACTAATTGAAGGTGTTGTCTCTTGTATCACCGAGAGACGACAAAATTAGAAATTACGATACTTTTACTCTGAGAAAACGAGAGATTTTGTCGTCTTTTCTCGTTTGTAATTTATTTTCTGAATCCGATTTTTTTCTCTCTTTTTTTGATACCTACATTCAAAAAGATTACAAAATTTGCCGCCCCCTATCTTTTGCCGCCATGGGCTGCCGCCCCATGTGGCCACCCTCTTAATCCGGCCCTGTCTGCCAGACGGAACTATGTGCATTAAGACATGAGCTCCGAGACCCATAAGAATACATGCATAACAGCGATCATGTCTTACTACACATAGTCCCGTTTGGCAGAAATACGTCCATATTTAGTCTGGATCATGGGAATGCGTTAAAACTGAGTCCGACTCCTAACTGCGTTCTTGCGAAGTGGCTAGGATCGATACCGTAACGCTACATTCGTAGTGTACCCCATTTCTTTCATCCAATGACGTCTAACTTCTCCGTATCACGCTTATCCAAATATGGGATTATCATACTTTTTTTGCACTCTTTGGCGTCCGCGCGAGTATTCGTAAGCGCCTCAACTTTGGGTAGATGAGTCCCCCGGGAACAATTAGCCACGAATAAAAACATCCACCAACCAAAATTCAGAAAACTTCGGTGCTAGAGGAGAGCAGCACTGAGCAGTTGCTTTGTTTTGAAATGATTGATAGCGGGATTCCTCCAAATTTTCGCCAGCGATTCCTCGAGCTCTAAGTACGCGCAACTGATACCAAGCCATAAAATTAATTATGAAAAATACTGTGTCGTCAGAGCCCCCGAGTCCTAACCATTCCTCTTTACTCGAGCTCGAACGACCGGAGGTAATGTTTGACGTTACTTCGGTCATTAAAGCAAACACCAAAAGTACCTTGGAACATGAGGGATTTCTACGACTAAAATATGAAATTTCATTATTGATCGCATTAAATGTGTTCCAAAAATAATTTTAAAAGGGTTCTTTGTGTGCCATAAGACCCCCAAAGGCATTTTATGCACAGAAAAAAATTCAAGCTTTATTTCTTGCAACGATAGACAATTCAAGTTTATGAAGGAGGATTTTTGGTTTGACAAATCTCTGGTTTTTGGTACTTTTATTGTATTTTCCGAAGGAACACGAAACATGGTATCCTAACACTAAAGCATGGTAAAATTCAGCAATTTATAAATTGTAAAAATGGAAAAATAGATATCGGCGGTGGAACTCCTAAACCACGTATCTCGGTTTGCAGCACAGCAGCCTTCTTGTCGTAATTAATATTTTTATCAGAAATCTAATCGATCTCATTTCGTGAAAATGCCGGAAATTTTACTTCTGTATGAAGAATATCCTGTGAAAATTTCAGACCATGAGGTCGGTTCGGTCCATTTTTGAAAATGAAATAGGAGCTCAGATTTTGAAACTTTGCAATCAAGGTACGAGATTCCGCAGCTTAACCGTCGTTTAGTTAGTTCCTTGACGTTTAATATAGTCCAACTATTGTAATTTACCGTGTCAGTGGCCCTCTGCACTGAAAAAAAATGGGTCACGTAAACCGAACACTCGGTGTTCCATGTC